ACTGCCCCTGGCTCCTGTCTTCTTTGACAGGCAGCCAGGAGCAGATAAGTACTTTCTAAATTTTTTAGGGGCCCCGTGAGCCGGATAGAATGGCTTGGTGGGCCAGATCTGACCTGCGGGCTGTATCTTGCCCATCCCTCTAATAGAAGCTCCCTGATAAGCACCTTTTAAATTTAAGTCTTTGCCTTAAGTCGTGACAGGTTGAAGAGTTTCCCATCAGATCATGTGTGAAGGTACACTCTATTTTCCATGTCTTCAAACGCACAGTTCAGGAGTACTGAGAAGAAGATTCCAAACAGTGTGGGGGCAAGAACACATCCTTGCTTCACTGTTTTTCATCTTGAAGCTGTCCAAAGTGGACCCATCAAACTGAACAGTTGCTTTTGTGTTGTCATGGAAGGAACATATAAGACTTAACAGGATTGGTGGGCATCCTATCTTTTGCAGGACTGCAAATAGATCTGCTCTGCTGGCAGTGTCAAATGCGCTGGTTAGATCCACGAAGGTGATGTACAATGGTTGGTTTTGTTCACTGCATTTTTCTTGAAGTTGCCATAGGGAAAATATCATGTCTATGGTTGATCTTCCATCCCTGAATCCACACAGATTCAGGTGTAGACAACTGGCCAGCTGTTGCAGGTGCACTAAGATAGCCTTTGTGAAAGCTTTGCCTGCTGTACTTAGAAGCAAAATACCTCTATAGTGGTTGCAGTTGTCCTAATCTCCCTTATTTTTATACAGAGCAACAAAGTGTGTGTCATACATGCCTTCTGGTACCTCACCATCTTTCCAGCATTTGAGTATCCGATGAAGATATGGTAGTAGGCTCTCTGTTCCACACTTGAGAATTTCCACTGGGATGCCATCTTTTCCAGGAGCCTTGCCACTTCATAATGAATCAATAGCCTTGCTTAACTCTTCTGCAGCGGGCTCCACAGCTAACTCTGGTATGACCTGTAGAGTTGATATTTGGTCCAATGATTCGCTGGTGGTTTTTCTTTCCTGTGAGTCTATAGCTCCTAGCAGTGTTCAACCCAAGACATCTGCTTGCTTCCATCTGTAATGGCTTCACCGCTACAGGACCTGAGAAGGGCAGCCTTGTTGATAGCTTTCTTCAGGCTACATGATTTAGGTTTCCTGTGTCTGAGGCTGTCTGTATCACATCACAGAGCTTACCATAGTACTGATTTGCACAGGGTCTGGTTGCTCTCTGTACCTCGCCTGTCAAAGTCTTGCTTTGGTGCTCTTGGCTGGCTTCTTGTTGAGTTTCAGATAAGCTGTGTTCTTGATGTTGAGAGGTAATAGTTCTGCATTTTCCTCAAGCCAGTCCATATTGGACAGTCTCTTCTCCCCAAATGTAGCTTTAGCTGTTTCATGTATTGCAGTTCTTAAACCTTCTCAAATCAACTCTGCCTTCTTTGATAGCGACTCCCCAAATATGCTGAGTCTGAGAGCCTTCACAAACTCTTGGCACTTTCTCTGGTTCCTGGCATTAGTGGTATTGGTTTTGGACTTGCTCCTAGGTTTTGCTCTATGTAGTTTTTCTTGGCTGTAATTTTCACTTTGCTAATGATCAGGGAGTGGCCAGTGTCACAACTGGCATTGTGGAATGTGCAGGTCTTCTGCACTGAAGGTAGATCTTTCCTTCTAACAATAACAAGGTCTAGTTGGTGCCAGTGGCCTGATCATGGATGTTGCCATGACACTTTGCGGTGATCTCTTCCATCAAAATGGTAATGCACAGTTGGTTTTCAAGCAAAATATGAATTGGTAATGCACAGTTAGCTTTGGGTGCAGAAGTCAAGAAATCGCTGACCTTTTTCATTGATCTTGCTGATGCCAAAATGTCCTAGGCAATCTGGCCGTGAGTTGTTGCCTGCGCAAACTCTTGGACTGACATCTCCGAGGACGAACAGTTGCTTAGTTGATGGTATTCCTTTGACAATTTGGTGCAGAATGTCGTAACATTTATCCTTCTCCTCAGGGCTGGAGTTGAGTGTTGGTACGTAAGTGCCGATGACGTTCACAAAGCCAATGGTCATCTGAAGTCTAAATGAGATGATGCGCTCTAGCTTCCCAATGGGTGTTTCTATAAGCTTGACCACCTTGTGGCTCACAGCAAAGCTGATACTGTGCTGACAATTTTCTTCAGTGCTTTTACCTTGCCAAAAGAAGGTATAATTGGTCTCTCCGACAGAACCAGGATCTGCAGGTCTTGTTTTCCGGAGTGCTGCAATGTCAATGTTGAGTTTGTACAGCTTGTGGTCAATCAAGACTGACTTCTGTATGCCGCTCATGTACTGTAGGTCATCATCATCCGTCAGGCCAGGTCAGGCCACATGATCCTGACATTCCAGCTTCCAAGGCACAAAGTTCTTGGTTTCTCGTTTTTACCAGGTGCAAGGGTTTCCATCTGCTTATTGGCTCTTGGCCTGCCTCAACGAGGCAGAAAGACTGTGATGGGTCAGCACCTAACTGTTATTGGGCTGCCCAGCATTATGGTAGACAGTAGCTGACCAGTGGAACGTGAGGATTATTCCCACCGAAGGTGACCCATGGCACCCTTCTCTATGTCAATCAAGTGAAAGCTTATAACCTATAACTGCCACCTTCTGTGTTGTGTCCTTGCTGCCAGCAAGGATGGAGTGTCCTCTCCACGCAGTATGGCTGCAATAGCCTGGGAAGTTGATATGGAGATGTTGCTTTGCCCATGCATCAGTATCCCCCTCTTGGCAACACTGGTTTGGTCCAAAGGAAGGGCAGGAGTTGATACGTTTGAAGCCAGCTGCGCGGCAGGAACTGCCAATGCAGAGGAGGTCTTCCATCTGCCTGTCTTTTTGGGCTCTATTCCTAGATCCGTTGCCAGCCATAGCTGAAGAGCCCAATCTGTCTTGTGTGGATGCTGCTGGCAAAAAAAAAATCACTAAAGCGATTATGCTCATCTGCCTTTTGATGGCATTTTCTCCATCAAGGGTTCCACCCTCCTCAGGCGCTCATCTGCCAGAAGCTACTGGTACTTCTTGAGGTTATCAGGTTAATTAACTGCTGCCTAGCACTCGGCGTTGACCAGTACAGGTTCTACCACTTATGGTCACAGCGGTAGCAGTTTTTCAGTCCTGACCTGACCACAGATAGATGGAACACAAAACAGATAGAATTCTCTACAGAGCATGGCTGTGGCAGCTTTTTGTCCAAGTTTCCTGTGACTTATACAAGTATAAAACCCTAACTGATGCCACTCCTTAAATACCCTCACACTTTTTACCAATCAGCCACAGAGTAGCTCATTCAAATAAACTGTGCATTTCACTGGTTAAAATGCTACACAACTAAGACACATAAATACAAAAGTCTGTCTGAATAATGTAAAGCAGCTCCTTACCTTTACTCTAATTTGTGTCACCTGGAACAAACATTCAGTTCCTGTAGAGAGAATGATGCTTGCTCTGGTCTTTCCAGTCTCAGTAAGAAAACCTAAAGTAAAATTGAAAAGATGATGAAGCTTTCAGAATTATTACCATAAAAATTAATTGAATAAAATTTATAAGAGGCGGAAATTAAAATCCAGCAATTCTGCTTTACAACAATGTTTCGTTAAGTTGAAAGCGAACCAAATGTTTTGCTTGGGATTTTAAAGAAAACATTAACGTATCAACATCCACAGTTCAGATCAGAAAGACAATGTGAACACATATAACACGGTGTCACGTTAACGTATCTTTCTACAACCTCTTGTGGGACTACAATTTGTAAATGGAAAAAACCTCTCGCAATTACTAAGTTTTAGTGGGTAGTAATTTCCACCAAACATTACTGGAGACACTGAATGACAGACAACTTTGCTGTTCTTCTAAATGCCAGAATAACACTGCCAGGATCATTCAATCTCCTATCTTTCACATTAAATCTGGAAGGGAAAAAATGAGAAAGCTGCAAAATCCTTTTTTAGGCTGATGGCGTCAAAAGCAAGTTGCTGGAGGAAAGAGACCCATTTGTTTTAGCTGGAGACTGGATAAGTAGCAAGTGCAGTCTTGTGGAAGTAACAAAACTTGGCAAGAGTTCTTGGGCATAAGTACACCCACCTAACACAACAAGCTGAGTCCCAATGTGCACACCTTCCAGGTATCTTGCTGGTCACCTTAAAACTACACCTATGGACTTACCATCCCCAGTCCACGGCTCCACAAGGAGGTTTTCAGGCCCTGATTTATCTTCCTTCCCCTTTACATCACATGCTTGCAGAGTTAGCCGTAACGGTTTTCCTACACAAAAAAAGCAATAGGTTTGTCAGTAACAGTAGGGAAAATATTTACAAAAAGCAAAAATACTAAAAAAAATATTAAAAAGGGAAAAACACAGTCTTTTTACTTTGTATCTTTACATAAATAAATAATTAATTAAATAAAAAAAAAATCATGATTTTGTGACTTTGTATACAATTGACATCTCAACCAAGATAGGAAATTGAAGTTATGACAGTCTGAATTCCTTCAACTGTAGCACGTGCATTTTGGAGTTCACAACACGACATACTAAATACTACCTTTATACTAGGAAACAGAGAATACAGTTGTCAGGGAAAAAATAAATGGCTTTCCACACTGTTGAACCTAACGTGCCATTAACAATCTTTTGCAGTTAAAATGCTTACATCTGTCATAGGTAGGCTTGGCAGGGTTCGATTTTTACTAATATCAGTAAACACTGATTTCACCATTCACTCACTGGCTAGTGAAAAAATATTTCCATCAGTAATAATCACAATTTAAAGACAGGACATTGTAACAGGGAACCCTTACCCCTGTTCCTGGACAGCGGAGAAAGAGACAGAGGTTTGGAGGGGTTAAAGAGGAAAACAATGAGTGGCCAAATAATCTCTCAATTAACCAATTCTCTGCTCATTCAGGCCTAATGACTCATCAGTTAAGCGATTAGGTGTTCTCTAACAGGTGGGGGGAAACAGGCTTGAGGGAGATAACAGGTTGCTTAAACAAACCCCTATACAAAACTGGGGAAAGGCGGGGGTGGAGGTAGAAGAGAGCTATTTGAGTATTTGAGGCTCCAGCCCCATGGCAGCAGGGTCCAGGCTGGCTAAGCAGGGGGGTGGGGGCAAGGATGGATACCACCTCCCACCAAGTTCCCAGAGCTCTGGGAGTGCCACTGCCCTCCTTTTCTGATCCCAGCCTGCCTGGGTCTTTCCTGTTGAATGAACAGAATGATTTAAAGCTGCTATGATTAACAGATTTATGGATATTTACTTCTTATATTTTGACCCGTGATTTTATAAAACTTTTAACAGTATACTGGCATTACTAAATTGTCTGCCCCCAACACCCCTAATGTTGTGCAATCCTGAAAATGTAAATGTCAAAATGTTAACAACTGCTTAAAATGACATTGTTTTTAGCCATCAAACTTATTACAAAATAAAATCAAATTCTGCCAAGCCTAGTCATAGGCCAGTTGGTGGTTGAATCTGATCAATATATTTCTCTCTATCAGGTTCATGTCAACAGGCCTGGTATGAATGCCCACTGTTTTAGGACTGGAAAGTGAAAGCAACGTGTCCACATACAACTCTAAACTTTGTCAAATGTGAAATGAAAAATTATGAATCTATGTTAATCCTACAACAAGAATAAGTCTTCAGCAGACCAACAAACAAGCTGAGTAGGGAACTTTAGAATCCCCTTCACTGAGAGTTTTCAGGAAGTGGCTGGATATGCATCTCTGGGACAGTTTAAGAACAGCAAATAATACATCTGTTGGACTAGATGGCCATGAAAGGCCCTCCCAACCCTATGATTCACTGACAAAAATTATACATAATGGCACTCTACTTACTAAAAAAGACTTAGAAAAGAAACTTCATGAAATCTACTGCAGGATCAGACTAATGTCACTAAGTAACTTTGATATAGATGAAACACCTTTACCATGTTACTATAAAAGCAAATACTCACAAAGTTCTTGAAGCCAGGCCCAAGTATATCAGTGGCAATGCGTAGGGGGTGCACGTGCACCCCGAGAGAGCACTGATGCATCCCTCACAGCCAGCATACCCTGCTTAGATGACAGGCAGGTGGGGCAGGCGAGAGTGCTGGTGCCCCCCCGAGAGCGCCGGCTAGGGAGTGGGGGCACCATGAGAAGTGATCCCACGGTCCTCCTGCAGCCAATCCTGCCGACTGGGGGAAGGTTTCCCCTGTGGCCGATCGCACAAATCCAGAAGTGTCGTGCTGACCTGGAAGTGCCAGTGGCACAGCACTTCCGGGCCAGTGTGATTGGCCGCAGGGGACCCCCACTTCGGTCAGTGCAATCGGCTGGCACAAGCAGCTGTGGGGGAGCCCCCCCGCCGGTCATTGACTGGTCGCTGTTGGGGCAAGTGGCCCCCCCCCCCCCCCCCCCCCCCCCCCCCCCCCCCCCCCCGCCCCCTTCAGGAGGCACCAGCAATGTTCCCTCTAAGGAGCAGCGGTCCGTGAGCGCACCGCTTTGGTCTGTGAGCACGCCGCTTCAGTCTTGCCTGACCCTTTCAGCACTGTCTGCCGGTAAGTGTCCCACAGTAAGTGTCCAGGTGGGAGCAGGCAGGGTTTGGCCACCACCCTTCCCCATGCTAATTGCTGCCCAGAGCTGCATAGTGGAGCACTGTGGGGCAGCCATGGGCCGGACACAATCAATTGGTAAAACTGATGCTGTGGCCCAGTCACGGGCCGGACACAAGCAGTTAACACAACTGACAGAGAGGCACTGGGGTCGGCATGGGACACTTACCAAAGGTAAGCTCCTCACTCTTCACGCGGGGCAGGCAGCAGCTCCTCCCCAAGGTGAGGTAAGGCAGGGATGGGGGCTGGGGCTGGGGCTGGCGTGGGCTCCGCTGGCTCCACGGAACTGCTCCACTCCTCAAGCCCTGATGCCATGCGCCTCCTCACTCCCCGAGGCGATCCGGGGGTGTGGAGCAGTTCCCCGGAGCTAGTGGAGCCTGCGTAGCCCGCCCCAGCCCCCAGCCCCACCTCGGGGAGGAGCTGCTGCCTGCCCTGCATGAGTAGTGAGGAGCTTACCTTCAGTAAGTGTCCCACGCTGGCCCCAGTGCCTCTGCGCCCAGCTCCTCTCCAGGCAGGCGCGCAGCATTAAAAAGTTGGTGCACGGCAGGATTTTTTTACTTGCGAGCGGCTGCAGACGCACAGCTTAGAGGGAACCTTGGGCACCAGTCGCCCATGTTGTATATATTCTAAGATTAGCTTCGATCTGATGCAAGAGCCCCAAGTGCACATACTTTCATCTAATGAAGATTATCAAGCTGAAAAAACACTCTAGAACAAAGATGTAAATGATCAAGGAATGATTTGCATAAGCAAAACCTGGAGAGCTGTGATGCTCTGCACATACAAGGAAGGCGGCAATTACCATTCATTTCAGTAATGTTTGCATAGGCCTAGGAGCTACTTACCATATTTATAAAGCAGATTTTGTCTAACTGTTGCCATGGAAGCAATAAGTGATGAAGCTTTATATGGCGTGTCCAGATGATCAGTGATTGTACAGAGCGAACTTAAAACTTTGGCAACACTACCTCTGGCTAAGGCAAAAGCCAACAGTGTAAGTTCTACCTCTGGAGTGGCACAACAACTGGGGGAAATAAAAATAACAAACGTATGAATTAAAAAAGGTCAATCAGAAAGGCAACCTACTGCAGCAAAACAAATTCAGCAAAACATTATTTCACTAACTTACATGGGGACCCATTTATATAATCATTCAAGTCAGGGGGTCAAACATATGGCCCAAGAGCTGGATCCAGCTCCAGGGAGCTCTATAACATGGCACTGTTGCTGCCCTACATGCCGTGCCAGATCAGCCCCATGTCCAGTGCCCAAGATATGCACCGCCTGCAGTGCTCACTGGGTCCAATTGTCCTGAAACCACAGGTGCCACATATGCCGGATCAGATGCATGGGCGTTGGGATCCATGGGCCTGATCCTGCCTGCGGACTGGCTATCTGCCACTCATCTGGTTTGCAGAGCCAGATGAGTTTGACACCCTTGTTTTAAGTCCTCTGCTTCTAAAAACAGCTTCATGCTGTTTCAGTGGGAGTAAGCACTGAAACAATCATTTAAAGCCTTAAATTGTCTAGTTAAAAAGCAAAAAGTAAGATGCGCTATTCAGGTTTAGCCCAGGAATTCAGTATTTATGTACAGGGACCTACTGAATTCACAGTAGAAGTAGAGCGCGTGGAAGCTCCTTTAACCTTGCATGTTCCCCATAGCGCACCTCACCCCTTGCTCCCACCCTGATCAGCAGAGACCCCACCACTACTTCCTGATTAGCAAGGAAACTAAAACCACAGTTTTAAACACGGTGCTGTTTTTGTCTCCCTGCCAGTCAGCAGAAAATAGCCGGGCCATCCAGGGCCCCTCAGCCAATCAGTGGCAGGAGGCAAAAAACAGCACCATATTTAAAACCGTAATTTCTGCCTTCCCGCTGATCAGGAGAGAGCTGCAAGCAAGGCCCCTCCACCAATCAGCAGCAGGGCAGTGGGGGAGGTGTTGCAAGGGAACCTGCAAAATTAAAGAAGCCACAGTGCACCCCATTTCCGCCATGAATTTGGTAGGTGCCTATGTACGTATGTATAGTTCTTATAATAGAAGCATTCCCTAGTAGTACATGCTACTCCACACATCATAGGTCTGGGCCCCCAATCTCTCTGCTTTCTACACGCCCACTAGCAAAAAAAAATTTGCTTCCCAGTAACCACTTGTAAGCACACCCACTAACCTCAACTTTCATTTTGTAATACATCTAAAAACATTCCATTGAGAAATGAGCCTCTTGAAAACCTAAGACTTCTGTAATTATATTGTGAAAAGTTTAATTTATTAGTCATTTATAATTAAAGCCTGCTTAACTTCTATGTGAAGATTTTAATGAAATATTATTTGTAAAGAGAGAGGCAGACCAAAAGAAAGCAATGGCATAATTCATATTGGCTACACTAGTCCTGAATAGTAACAAATCACAGTGGCCTGGCCTCTCAAGCAATTCCATATGAATTAAGTATACTACTGTCATGAATAATTTATTTCAGCAGCAACTTTGGTTCACAAATTATACTTAATAAGAGTACTTCTGACTATTTTGAGGGGATATCACATTTTCACCAGTCTTGGTATTCATTTATTGAACTAACCCCTTAGTATTTCTTCTCAATGGTAAAAGAGAAAAATGTATCAACTCCTGCTAATCTCAATGAACATTTTTCACTTGAAGCAATTTCCCACCAATTTCAACTTTAATTATATCATGACACCACATTTCAGGACAAAAAACAGCAAAGTGAGCCATTAACTTCACTTTGCTCATTATGGCTAGGGACAGACATTCAAAAAGCCTGAGCCTGAAGAAATCCAATCTTTTCCGGTTAGTCTAACCTGCAAAGGTTGAACCAATTTGGAGGTGGATAGATGGTTCCCTTTTCATTCCAGAGATGCAGGCACGTGCCTGCAGTGGCTCAGGCTAGAAGCTGAGGGGCACAAGAGCAGCCTTCCCTTCCCTTTCTCAGTGCTGATCTCAGGGGGGCATGGCCAGGCCCCAGCAGGGTGCTCCGATTAGGAAGGGGTTTAAACCCCCACCCTGCCTGCACCATCTCATGCCTTTCCCTGCTTGCTGCTCAAGGAGTGGGAGTGCTGCCAGATCCCAGCCCCTGGCTAGTACTCTGAGGCAGAGGACGGGGGGGGGGGGGGGGGGGGGGCGGGGGGGCCC